GGGGGGGGGGGGGGCTACCAGGGCTGCCGGGTAATAATGGGCTGTGTGGAACGTGCTAAGGTCGATTTTTGGCATATCTGACCCACGGTTTATTATGTTTGACACTAGTTAAGCATTATGATTATGATTATACTGTTAAAAACCGCATTGAAAGCGCTTTTTTTGCCATTTGAGACGGGGCACAAAAACTCAAGGGGGCGCAAAAACTCAAAACCATGACGCAAAGCTCCTCATTGCGTCCCTCTCACTTAGCCCCTCTCCTATACATTCTATTTGTCTATTTAAATATTGTATTAATAATATTGCAAAAACTTGATATGTATTTACACGAAGAAAAAAAGTGCTTTAAACTGTCATATTTGAATTCAGCAAATGGTATTTGAGGGACGGGTTTGGTCTGACTCGCCAATGTTCAACACCACCCGTTCCAATATTATTACCGCCTAGAAGGTGATAATAATAACGAAATAAATCGGAATAAAAGGAGGTAAACGGCAACCGGTTTTTTACCGTTCGGTCAATTTATGACCTCCATCAATTCAAAATACATTGCTTGAACAACACATTGCTAACTTTTAGTTTTCCAATTTTAGTGGGTTGCAAAAAAAAACAAAAAAGAAAAAACGTTTGTTTAAAAAAAAACCTTAGACTGTAGGCCAGTTCTTGAATTTTCGATAATTAGGCGAGTGAGTTTTTGATTATTTAATGTAATTACTCAAAATTAATTACATTTATTTTCCTGTTTAGGGTGATAATTATCCTTTAAGTGAGTGATAGTTAACGCTCGATTATTTCAGTAACAATCCATACGTAAATATTGCTTTTGTATAAAAACAATACGTTCCCGCGTAATAACAAGTCTAAATAGATGTACATTCCTTTTTTTAAATTCAGTACAATAGATATATATCGGAATGTGGTACGTATTTGGCACCCAATTAAAATCAAAAAGTGAAACCCTGAAAACATAAAACCTATAGATACACGTCCAGGAAGCTTCGTATTCCATTGACGTCGTCTCTTTGTTTTTATAGTCTGCCACCAGCAAACGGAACCCTCGCTACAATAAGATATATATATATAAAGAAAACTGGTCTATTTTAGACTGTCCAATCGATTTCTTTTGTGTTGCTCATAAGTACGAGTAGATTCAAACTTCATGTTATGACAAGTTTTACAACAAGACGTCTTTTATTTATCAAAAATAATTTATCTTCACTTCCTATCCAATATATAATGTTCTTTCAAATCGTGTCACCAGTCAACTCGTATGATTGTTATGTCTACTATTCCAGGGATGTTTATTCATTCTCCTGGGGGGGGGGGGGGGGGTCACGTGGCTAAGTGGGTAAGACGCTAGCTCGCTAGCCTGGAGGTCGGGTGTTCGATCCCTGCATTGGCCGAGAAAGTTCTGGCGTGGTTCTCCCTTGTCAGTGATGCAGGACGGAGGGGCTGACAAGGAAAGCTGTCTAGTCGTTCGGATGAGACGTAAAACCGAGGTCCCGTGTACACATTGGCGTGCACGTAAAAGATCCCTTGGCAGTTGGAATTCGATATAAGAGTAGGCCGTAGTGCCGCTGTCCGGGCAAAATTTCCCTCATAGCACACTGTATGGCGTATGCCCGTCTTCATTAGCCCAGGTTAGGAGCAGAACAGTAAGACGTTAAACTCCATTTCATTTCATTTCATTTCATTTCATTCTCCCGGGACGCATGGTTCTCTTTGGGTGCAGTGAACACTATGTCTCTATTTAACTTGCAAATAGTGACAGGTGTTGTGTACGAGACAGGAGAAGCGAGACGTTTGCTTTGCTCACAAAATTGTGTTATTCGTTTTAAGCAGACAATAAATACCTGCAAAATGGACGCAAACTAATTTTTTTTGGATTAAAACTAACAATAAACAAGTTAAAAGACAATCAACCTGTGTTTGATGATAAATTGTAATCAGACAAAAGCATAAGTAATATAATAGACTGCAATTAAATGCTGCTATAATAAGTTTTCCTCGACAGTGGAAACCCGAAATACATCAACGCAATTGATTGGATAACTTATTCAAAAATATGTTTGCTGCTAAAACCTGATATTGTGCGATCTATGGATGTATCACGCTATTTAATTTCAAACTGAAAATATTGCCATTACGAAAATATCCGTCATTAACGACTGCCAATCAGAAGTTCAGTTAGTGAGGCAGAGAGAAGGATTAGCGGTGGGAAAGGTCCATTGCGTCGTTTTTCTCTTTACAAATTGATTCTAAAAATTACATTTAGTTCATCGGATATCACAACAAAAGAAATGTCGCGCTGCCCTGGCGATATGGTACTTCGCTGTGTGTGCTAACTATGACCATCTTTTCGTGAAACCTGCGGCTGACAAGTGTAACATCCACACTACAAAAACTAGGCCATTTTGGGACTAACATGGTTCAATTTTATTTCAATAATTCGCTTGCGCGTAGGGGTCTTTATCAATGGCAGAACCGGAGAAAAAAAACATGGGGTTGGATAGGCGACGCTACTTCTTGTCATGTACAACTACTACAAGCGGGAAATTGAAACCACGCCACTTGACTCAATGACAGACCTTCTGAGAGTTTATCTTGTACATCAGACAAAAGATTAGCGCGTGATGGTTTGTAATCTTTAACAATTACACTTATCCTCACCAAATGACAGCTACAATTCCGCTGTGTCCAATGGATAATAGACGGTATCTAATGGATATTTGGCTGAGAGTGGATTGTACTAGTTCCTGGATGCTAACAACTTTAAATTCATATTGATACAGAGATTTGTTTTGTTCATTAGCTTAATGTGTAGAGCGCTGGCTCGCTAACATGGAGAAACCGGGTTCAATCCCGGTGTACGCCGAGAAAGAGTCTCGGGATTTTCCCGAGCGGTTTCCTATTGTCAGTTGTTCAGGACGAAGACCTGACACGGAGAATTACATAAGGCATCGGATCAGACAGAAAATATAGGTCCCATTTGCACCCTGGCGTGCACGTAAAAGATAACGTGATATTTGGAATATAATTGATGTCCAGACAATTTTATCCACGGCACACTGCATGGTGTACACCCTTCTTCATTAGCCAAGTCGATGCAGAAAAGTAGGACGTTAAACCCCATTACATTCATTGGGTCGTTATATATTGAGTGTAAAGATGTATTATGTAACATAGACAATGAAAAATGAATATATTAAAAATTTCGTTCAAATTACTTTATTCTGAGCTAATTTATGTGTGCTGGAAGATGTAGCACAGATTGTTTAATTGTCGCTAGCAACCTCACTGGACAATAGAGATTAGCCTCGTTTGTCCATTTTATCTTTAATTTTGTAAATCTCACCTGCGTACTAATACATTTAAATCTCTGCCATCCGACAGTCTAGAGAGTTGATTATGGGATTTTCATGTTAATAACTGTCTAAATGATAGTTTAAATATAACATTTTGAAGCCAAAATAAAGACATGGAATTTAGCTCTTACATAATTCGTCTGTATTGTTTGTAAGTTTAAATTGTATTTCTCGTGGGAGGTTGGATGACCGAATGGTTAGCGCGTGCGCACTTTATCATAAGGTCTGTCATTGAGTCAACTGGCGTGGTTTTTATTTCCCGGTTGTACGTGACAAGGAGTAGGGTCGCCTGTCCACTTCATGGGTTTTCTCCGGGTCCTCCGGTTTCCTTCCACTGCTATAAGACCCCTACGCGCAAGCGAATTATTGAAATAAAATTGAACTATGTGGTAGTCCCGAAATGAACTAGTTTGCGTCGAGTGGACGTTAGACGCCATCTCTCTCTCTCTCTCTCTCTCTCCTCTCTCTCTCTTTTGTATTTCTCGTAAGGGACCCATATCTTAATAGTCAGCATTAGTTACTCTTTTACTGACACTTATACTAACACGAGTTATAGTCACAAATTGTAGCTTCAGATCGAATGGGAAATTAGATGCATCTTTGATGAACATGTCTAAATCTCTTCTATTTTAACTGGAAAATTCGTCACAACTGGATACAAACAAGTTGGTTTCAGGAGACTCACTGCAGAGAAACATATTAGAGTAATGTCCCTTTAATCAAACGTTATGTACTTATCTTGGATAATACAAAATGTCATTATAAGTTCTAAATTTCGCCGGGGTGTCGTAGACGTCATGACATCACCGTGAGTGTTATAATAGATACGTTTTATACTTTCTCTTTCCAGAACACCTGATACCTCTTACTCCTGGTTTACTTTATTTGAAATGAAATGAAATGGGGATTAACGTCCTACTGTTCTGCTACGACTGGGCTAATATAGGCGGGTACTTTATTTGAGGGAAGCCGTGGATTCAAGTAGGGGGAGGAGGCAGAGCAATCTATTTTGATATTTTGAATAAGTCTTAACAACCTGTGCACTGAATGTATTTGAACATACTACACTGAGCCAAAAATTGTAGCTAATATAGGCTCGTTGGTATTGTTAAGCTCATGCCTTGTATTGCGCAAGCGGCAGAAATGGGTGAGGGGTTATATTGACTTTGAAGGTTCCCTAACTTCTTTTTTTGAATGAAATTATAATATAAAGCTGTGACCATTACATTATATGTAATTTGGTGATGATAAAAGTTTCAGTGCTATTGCACTTCGCCTTCGGAATCCGTTGTCAGCAAACTTTACAGAATTCCCAACTTTCACAGTTTTCAGGTGACCGCTAAAACCTATTTTTTTAAATTCTCTTATGCAGATTAGAAACTGGCTGCTAGTATGTATGTTTAAATTATAGAGAGACCACTTAAATGTAAGGGCTTGAGCGTACATAAAGGGGCGTGGGGGTAGGGAGTGGCTTGATCGCACAATAAATATACATTATATAATTGTCTACTCCCAAAAGTCCAGAGAAAATCAAAACTCTGACTCATTCAAGAAGTAAGTAAACCAGAGGATTAGTAATTGCTATATACAAAGTATAAATAGACCATGACCAGTAACCAAACAGTTTTCTAATAATTCAACCATTTTATTAAAGACAACAATAATTCATGTGTATTTCGCTAATTTCTTTCACATATAATACTAAATTATATATATTTCCTTTATATACACAGCTGAAACTGCAACAACTAATAACAATATTCATGTTTTGCTTTTAAGGAAACAGTTGGCATATCAGCTTAAAAAACACCACCGTTTTATATTCGACAAATAGCGATGTTTCATTTGTTGTATTTTTTCCCTTGGATAGTAATTGTTTCAAGTTGATATATGGCCAAATTTTAGGTTCAACAATACTTTACGATTTGGAAAATATTGGGAAGAATTATTACGGGGAGCTTTTTAAAGAAACATTATTCTAGACTAAAATACTTTCAGGCAATATAAAATGCAAATTATGGTCGTCTTGGGTCGCCAGTTGGCTACTGAACATCGATGCCAAGATTACAAGTAACCTTGTTACACTATTTAATCGTTTAGGTTACTAACGTAAGGACACATATCAATCCTTGTTTTGTTAAATTCAAATAAGGAAAATTACTATTAGCCTTCTGTCACACTGACTGGCGCAGAGACGCTATGATGTTTTGTTTAACATATATCAATAAGAAACACCTCATACATAACGAGCAAACACACAATTAGTATATTGTAGTATATTATTAAGGACGTAATAAAACCCCAAACCTCAGCACATCTTGTTACAAATATCAGTGAATGAATAATAAGTAGTACAATTAATTGAATATCGTTGGTAATAATATATGACTGAATACTTTAACTGTATTGAGTGTCGTAGTAGCAGTAAAAAGAGCAATTACATACAATACTAATACATGTTATTGTTTTAGGTTGAAATATTGCAGAATTTGGGTTTCAACAATAATTTGCTGATGTCTAATAAAGTTCATGAACTAAAAAGTATTTGGCGGGATTGTTATAACGAGCTTCTTTAAGATACGTTATTCTAGACTAAAAGACAAATACAATCTTTCTGGCAATACAAAATCGAAGTTATGACCATCTAAAACTCTAATTAGTTCCTATGGATTTCAGGAAGTCATTTTTTCTGTCTTTGATCAGCAGTCGGCTAGTGAACAATAATTATCTTAACATACTTAATTGTCCCCACTGTAACACCACATTTAACCGACTAAAAATACAGTTCTTACATAGTATAGTTACAATCATTGAATATTAATATGGTACTAATCTTCACAATCAATAGATGAAAACACAACCTGTATTGTGATTTGTTTATTAATATCAATAAAACCATTTCTAGGGTTCAGTATGTAATCTGAGCTTAGTTGATCCCATACATATGAATCGGCCATCGATACACAAGATTTAGCTCGAACTTTTTTTCTGTTAGCGTAGTCTTGCATCGATCCATAGAAACCAAACCCTGATCGAGCTTGTTTCTTGTAGTTTCCCTGCTTATAATCAGCCCATGAAGTATTATTTCTGAAATTACAGTCATCTTCAATGATTAAAGATTTACTATCATTGATATTAATAATTTTTAGTTTGAAACTGGCCCTGCATTTCACATTCGATGACTTGAGTTGGAGTTTTACATACCCGTCATCCACAAAAAGCGCTGTACTCGTATTATTCTTATTCCTAAGAACGCAATCCAATGCCCAGGCAACACCCTGAATTGTATAACATTGGGACATTTGATCTTGATTCCCCAAGACTTCATAAACTGAGTTATATTCATCATCACAACTCTCTTCAAAACTGCATTCAAATTGGTTCTCCACCGGTACATGTACATTACCAATTTGTTTGGACAAATGTTCAACATAAACGACCTCATTTTGAAACTGATTCCCAAAGACTCCATAAACTGAGTTATATTCATCATGACAACTCACATCAAAACTGCATTCAAATTGGTTCTCCACCGGTACATGTACATTACCAATTTGTTTGGACAAATGTTCAACATCAACGACCCCATTTTGAAACCGAGGACATTCATAATTGGGTACAGCAAAATCTTTATCAGCATCATTGATGGCTTGTCTCACTTTTGGAGTTGTATTCAGTATTTCTTCCAGTTGACTTCTGTTTAACACCTCACGTATCTGTTTGCCAAATTCCGACATCTGTCTCGTGTTTTCTTCGACGTCCTTAGTCATATCACTCATCACCTGCGCTTGCTTTAAATTAGGATTCTGTACTTTCAATTTTATTTTTCTGCCTTCATCTTTGAGAATGTGAATCATCGCTTCTATCCTTTGGTCAACTTTTTCACATTCTGCAGTCGAAAATTGATTGATTGTTAAAACTTCTTTTTTCAAAGATTCTACGATGGACTTGTTTAACGCCATTTTAATCTGAACCTTTTGTTCCAGTTCTTCCAGAATTAATTTATGTTCGTTTTCCACATCTTCAACATTCTGTAGGTTATGTCCTTGATGACTCGTAATAAAACATTTATAACATAATGTTATCTTGCAATCTTTACAATATAAATCCTTCTCTTTCTTATGTTGTCGACAAACAGACACCGGCACCGGCTTGTCATCGATATAAAAATTCACTGGAAAATCGTTTACTCCTCCATCCGGGATTTTGATGGATCTTGTACATAATGGGCAACGAAACAGGTTTTTCTTTGCTGTTCTTTTGACATAATCATCTAGACAGGAAGTACAGAATGTGTGGTGACAGTCGATTATTTTAGGTTTCGTAAAGTAATTTAAACATATACTGCAGTCATTTTTGTTTATTTTCTCAGCCATGTCGATAAACTGGTATGCTTCATTCATGCATAGGATATGAACAAGTAAGTTACCTGTGTGTCTATTCCACTTTCCAAGATCACGATGAAACAATAATACGAGTTAAGTCTCTTAAATAATCACTGAATACCAAATGAATGTATGTCCTTTAAATAATTGTAGCAGTTTTAATAGATTAAATGGATTTATTCACCCATTCACAAACTGAAAGTGAAACTAGAGCAATGACGGAATTAACAACAATGACAGATTATGGTTTCTATTTGAGGAGAGATTTCAAAGGGACAGTATGATAGTCTAAAATTAGTCTTGGTTAGATTAGTCTCTCTCACAAAAATCACAGAACACCAAATGAATTATCCATGAGCTTAGGATTGTTCTGTGGGTTCTCTGTTTTGTCCTACCAGTATCACACCTAGCTCTCTCATTCCATATATTTTCCAAGAAATGACGAAGTCACAATGCTAACGGGATTTTCTTTATAAACGGACACGCATGACAGATATTTACACTGAGTTGCCCCAATAGAAGTGCGGGGCTGTTTAACTTAACTCAAAGGGAGATTAAATGTTAGTAATGTGAAACTTTCAAATAAATGATATCCAGTGGCTTTAAAAAACAAAATACTTTTACATCACATATGCTTATATCTAAAGATACATTAGAGTGTATCTTCGCCCATTGATAATTTATTTGACTATACATTTACATGTCAAAATTAGATTTTACGAATAAGTTAAGATACATTAAACAAGACATCACTGAGTTACACATGTTTAAGTTTAGAAGGGTTCAACGAACGTTTGCTAAAAAAGCCCTTATAGGTTAATTATTGGATTTCGATGATTATGTTAGTAATTAAATACAATTAATTACATTTATTTTCCTGCTTGAAGTTTTACCCCTGTAAAGATGCATTATCTAAATCTGCCTAATGCAGATCTTTCGTTTGGCATTACTTAGACATTTATTCACATAACAAAATATATTTTTTAATTTTTAAATCAGTAGAATAGATATATGTGGTACATGTCTGATGACTAATTAAAGCCAAAAGGTGAAACCCTGAAAACATAACGCCTTTAGGTGACGTTCAGGGATTTTTTTGTTTTATTCCATTGACGTCGTCTCTGATTTTATAGTCTGCCACCCATCGCTACAATAAGATGAAATATATATATATATATATAAATACTTGTGCTAAGAATTTAAATATTAAATTTAGTATTTTTCCTTTTTATAAAGTCAATATTGACAATACTAGAGACGGAATATGGAAGCATACTTTATTGACCGCTTCAAACCAGATTTAAATGCTTAATTTGCCCCCTTCCCACCCTGTTATATTCTAAAAATATTTAAATAAAATCTTAGTATATGTTTTTACACGTTTCTCTTCGACATTATTTAAGGGGAATTGAAACCCTATATATCTTTATTTCTCTATAATCGGTTTATTAATCTCTTTACTTCTGTATGGTTCTATTGTCAAATTATACCAGGAAGATTATGCAAATCAATGAAAGGTTAAATTTTATTATAGCCAGATTACATAATTGGTCTATGAACCTTTATTTCATCTCATTATTCCTATATTGGCCATTGTTAAACTATACCAGGAAGACTATGTAGATTTATGTCATGCTATGTATTATATACTTTTAAACCTTTTGTTGTACGTTATCTAATATTATTTATAATCCATTGTCATGGAAATCTATTATTCTAAGAATGTATATATGTATCTATCGTATTTGTAATATTTTGTATACATTATTAATATCTGAAGACGCCCATAGAAGGCAAACAGCTAGCTTATATGATTTAATGTATGTCAGATATCACAACACAAAAAATATCGCGCTGCCCTGGCTATATGTGCTAACGATGACCATCTTTTCGTGAAACCTGCGGCTGACAAGCGTAACTTCCACTCTACAAAAACTAGGTCATTTCGGGACTAATATGGTTCAATTTTATTTCAATAATTCGCTTGCGCGTAGGGGTCTTTATCAATGGCAGAACCGGAGAAAAAAAACACGGGGTTGGATAGGCGACGCTACTTCTTATCATGTACAAGCGGGAAATTGAAACCACGCCACTTGACTCAATGACAGACCTTCTGAGAGTTTATCTTGTACATCAGACAAAAGATTAGCGCGTGATGGTTTGTAATCTTTAACCATTACACTTATCCTTACCAAATGACAGCTACAATTCCGCTGTTTCCAATGGATAATAGACGGTATCTAATGGATATTTGGCTGAGAGTGGATTGTACTATTTCCTGGATGCTAACAACTTTAAATTCATATTGATACAGAGATTTGTTCATTGGGTAGAGCGCTGGCTCGCTAACATGGAGAAACCGGGTACACAGTCTGTATATCAGTATATGGTGTGTCCACCGCGAGTGTCAATAACAGCAGCGCAGCGTCTGTACATGGAGTGGACCAGACGATTGATGAACGCCATTGGCACCTGGAACCACACTCTCAGAAAAGCCTGAAGCAATCCATCGGCCGTGTTTGGTCTCGATACGACGTTATTAAGTCTCCCCTGAATTTCATCCCAAAGATGTTAAATCGGGTTTATGTCCGGACTAAGAGCTGGCCAGTGCATAACGTTGACACCGTTCTACTGTAGAAATTCCCGAGTAACTCTGGCGGTGTGGCACGGACGTTGTCATGCTGGAAAAAGTTGTTTCGTTTCGACGACGTGTGAAATGTGGTATGGCGTGGGGTCTGAGAGCTTGATCGATGTAGCGCACTGCTGTGATGCCGCCTCCCGTCCCTGATCCAAGATTTCGGAACACCACAGGACCCACTCTCTGGTTCAGACCGATTCCACTCCAAACCGTTATGCTTGGGCCTTCCCGTAAATCTCGTTCCATGACACATTGGCCAGAATAACGAGGGGTGAGGATCGGTCTACGGTAATGTCTACGGCCATGGGCGTTCTCTCTGGTGAGACGTCGACGCACTGTATCGGTACTGAAGGGTCTACTGTGTGTTTCCGCTGTCTGGCGTGAATTCTCAGATGACTGTGTGAAGGTATTCTGCATGTGCTGTCGCACAACATGGCGGTCTTGTCGGCTTGTGGTAACCCTTAGTCTACCAGTTCGGGGACGATCATCCGTGGTTTTGGTGGCCCGAAATTGTTTCTGAAGCCTGTAGATGGTCCGAACATTTGATTGGAAGTGATTGGTAACGGCTGGGGCAGTGTGGTCAGCGCCGAGTCTTCCAAGCGCCTGGTTCCTCTGAGCTGTCTTGAGTCGTGAAATGCAGCTGACGTTGTAGTGTGAATGATTCAAACATGTATGGGGGTGCATTTTATAGGGCTCGTCGCAGTGAACAGCACGGGCAGCATGAGTTACATGAAAATCATGGAGAACACATTACCATCTCAGAAGTCAGGTTGCGTTTTTCAGAACATTTCCTGGGTTCAATTCTGTGTTTGGGAAGGGGCTTTATTGCTCAGGTAAAGTTGGAGATGTGGTCACAAGTATACAATAAAAACATTTGCCAAGTTTTATGCTTTGTGTCTATTCAGAGTAACATACCAACCTAACGTTTCTTTTGCTGCCTAGTATACATGTTTTATTAATATAACAGTTTACTGAATATTAATACATGTTTCATTAATATAACAGTTTACTGAATACTAATACATGTTTCATTAATATAACTGCTACATACAATACTAATACATGTTTCATTAATATAACCGTTACATACAATACTAATACGTCATGTTTCATTAATGTAACCGTTACATACAATACTAATGTATATTACATTAATTTAACCCTTACATACAATACTAATACATGTTTCATTAATATAACCGTTAAATACAGTACTAATACATGTTTCATTAATATAACCGTTATATACAATACTAATACATGTTTCATTAATTTAACCGTTACATACAATACTAATACATTAATATAACAGTTACATACAATACTAATACATGTTTCATTAACATAACAGTTACATACAATACTAATACTGTTTCATTCATATAGTTACATATTAATGTTTGTTTCAGGTTGAAATATTTGCTCGTTGCGGCAATTCAAAATAACAGTTCTGAACATCTAAAACTGCTGTTAGTTCCTTTGGATTTCCTGAAGTCATCTTTTTCTGTCTTGGATCGGCAGTCGGCTAGAGAACAATAATTATCTTACATACTTAAAGAAGCCAAGTCTCTAACTCAATATCATTCACAGTCTTCGACATTGCAAACACGACTTTTAAATCAATATTGATGTTGTTATCTTACCGTGAAAAGTTTGGCTTCTGATATCCAATATTTAAGACCAAATGAATTTTTTAAAATTGGCTCACGAATCGTGTGACAGAATGCTTTCGAGCGCCAGTTATATGAAGCAACTCGATGAACCAGTCTAAACATATCCCATGTAGGAGAATACTACCGGTGTAGACTGGAATAGTTAGACGCTTAAGACCGCCATTCAATTCACTCTTCGCGTATTTCGCCGAACATAACTGAATAGAAATTACAGTAAAACAGAAACGATTGAATGTAAATCAGTTTATATACATTCCTATTACATCATTATATGCGTTGCGATCCATTTGTGTCTATTTATAGGTGCCAAAGAATAGCGATTTACCTTTTTTAATTGGTCTCACTGTAACACCACTTTTAGCAGAATAAAAATACAGTTCTTACATGGTATAGTATACAACCATTGAATATTAATATGGCACTAATCTTCACAATCAATAGATGGGAACACAACCTGTATTGTGATTTGATTATTTGAATTAATAAACCATGTCTAGGGCCCAGTATTCAATCTGAGTCTAGTTGATGCGATACATATGAATCGGCCGTCGATAAACAAGACCTAGATAGAACTCTGCGAGGCGTGACATGTCCCATATTTTTACGATGTTTCTGAATGTCTTCCTTCTGTCCACAGATTGTTTTTCTGAGTAAATTATCTTTACTATTATTTCTGAAAAAATGTTCATCTTCAATGATAAATGATTCACTATCATTGATATTAATAACCGTTATATACAATACTAATACATGTTTCATTAATTTAACCGTTACATACAATACTAATACATTAATATAACAGTTACATACAATACTAATACATGTTTCATTAACATAACAGTTACATACAATACTAATACTGTTTCATTCATATAGTTACATATTAATG